GCTCCGCAACAAGAGAGGCCACGATAGTGAGAGGCCCGCACACCACAATGAAGAGTGGCCCCCACTTGCCACAACTAGAGAAAGCCCTCGCACAGAAACAAAGACCCAACACAGCCATAAATAAATAAATTAATAAAAAAAAAATAATGATCGTAAAAGAATAAAAATCTTATGATCATCTCAATAGATGCTGGAAAACCTTTTGATAAAACTGAACATCTATTTATGATAAAACAAAAACTCTCCAAAAAGCAGGTACAGAGGGAACATACCTCAACATAATAAAGGCCATATATAACAAACCCACAGCTAACATCATATTCAATGGTGAAAAGCTGAAAGCATTTCCTCTAACATCAGGAATGAGACGAGGATGCCCACTGAGGCCACTTTTATTCAACATAATTTTGAATAAATTATCACAACAATCAGAGAAGAAAAAGAAATAGAAGGAATACAAGTTGGAAAGGAAGAAGTAAAACTATCACTCTTTGCAGATGACATGATACTGTACATAGAAAAGCCTGAGGACACCACCAGAAAACTGCTGGAGCTCATCAATGAATTCCGTAAAGTTATAGGATACATAATTAATATACAGAAATCTGCATTTCTATAAACTAACAATGAAGTATTAGAATGAGAAAATTAAGAAAACAATCCCATTTACCATCACATCAAAAAGAATAAAACCTAGGAATAAACCTACCTAAGAAGGCAAAATACCTGTACTCCGAAAACTACAAGACACAGATGAAAGAAACTGAAGATGACACAAAAGGATGGAAAGAATACTGTGTTCCTGGATTGGAAGAATCAATATTGTTAAAATGACTGTACTACCTAAGGCAATCTACAGATTCAATGTAATCCCTATCACAACACCAATGGCATTTTTCACAGAACTAGAAAAAAAAAATTTTTAATTTGTATGGAAACACAAAGGACCCCAAATAGCCAAACAATCTTGAGAAAGAAGAACAGAGATGGAGGAATCATGCTCCCTAGGGACTATACTACAAGCCACAGTAATTGAAACAGTATGGCACTGGCAAAACGAAACACATAGATCCGTGGAACAAGAAAGAGAGCCTATAAAAAAAATCCAGGTACTCATGTTCAATTAATCTACCACAAAGGAGGCAAGAATATAAAATGCAGAAGACAGTCTCTTCAAACAAGTGGTGCTCAGAAAACTGTACAGCTACATGTAAAAGAATGAAATTAGTACATTTCCTAAAACCATATACAAAAATAAACTCAAAATGGATTAAAGACCTCAATATAAGACCATATACCATAAAACTCCGAGAGGAAAACAGGCAGAACACTCTGACAAACTGCAGCAGTATTTTGGGGGATTCATCTCCTAAAGTAATGAAAATAAAAGCAAAAGTAAACAAATGGGACCTAATTAAATTTAAAAGCTTTTGCACAACAAAGGAAACCATCAACAAAAGGAAAAGACAACCTACTAAATGGGAGAAAATATTTGCAAATGATATAAATGATAAGGGATTAATATCCAACATATTAAAACAGCTCATACAACATTACATCAAAAAAACATACAACCCGATTTTAAAAAGGGCACAAGAACTGAACAGTCGTTTTTCTAAGGTAGAAATGCAGATGGCCAACAAGTACATGAAAAGATGTTCAACATCGCTAACCATCAGGGAAAAGCAAATCCAAACTAAATGATATCCCCTCACACCTGTCAGAATGGCTACCATCAAAAAGAACAGAGAAAGTGCTGGCAAGGATATGGGGAAAAGGGAACCCTGCTACAGTGCTGGTGGGAATTTAAATTCGTGCAGCCACTTAGCAAAACAGTATGGAGGTTTTCTCCTAAAACTAAAGCTACAATTACCATATAACCCAGCAATTCCAATCCTGGGTATATATCCAAAAAAGCCCCAAAACAGTAATTCAAAAAAACACATGCACCCCAATGTTCATAGCAGCATTATTTACAATTGCCAAGATATGGAAGCAGCCTCGGGGTCCATCAACAGACAAATGGATAAAAAAATGTGCTGTACACACACACACACACACACACACAGTGGAATAATAGTCATAGAAAAGAATGAAATTTTGCCATGTGCAGCAACATGGATGTACTTGAAAGGTATTATGCTAAATGAAGTAAGTCAGACAGAGAAAGATAAATACTGTATGGTATCACTTATATGTAGAATTTTAAAATATAACAAATTACTGAATACAACAAAAAAGCAGCAGATGCAGAGATATAACTAGTGGTTACAGCAGGGGAGGGGCAATATAGAGGTGGGAGAGTGGGAGGGACAAACTGTTGGGTGTAAGATAGGCTCAAGGATGTGTTTGTACAACACGGGGAATACAGCCAATATTTTGTAATAACTAAATGGAACGTAGCCTTTAAAAACTGTATAAAATTTTAAAAAAATTTTTAATTAAAAAAAGAAAACATGTCAGCACCATTCAAATTTATAAGCTTCCTCAATAAAACATGTCAAAATCATATTTGTTGAAAGTGAATGAAGGATGGCACACACAGGATTAACAATGTGGCATGAACAGTAGTTTAATTAGTCTCACAGGTATGAGGTTGTGAACTTGGACACTGTTCTCCTTAGGATAAGTTCCTACACCTTTTATTGCCACCTCAAAGTTGATGACCATATTGTTTCCTACCCACATTGTCACCCTGCCCTAGAGAGGCATTGTTAAACTCCACAAGAATTAAAAAGACAACTGGAGGTTCTTATCGGTCAGGGTCTCCTGATACTTTCTACCTTAGTTTCTTGGACATGCTGACCACTCTATCCAGTGGCTTCAAGAAACATTTCTGCATGTAGAGCAGATAATATTGTAACATATTGTTCAGTGTTTTGCTCCAAGAATCTTCTCTTAAACAGTAAACCCCCTGCATCAAAGTGTCCACCATAAGCTGCCTATGAACTAAAGGCGCAAAGAGAGATTGAAACTTTAGACCCCTGGAATGTGTGTTTAAAAAACAAGTTTCAGGGACTTCCCTGGTGGCACAGTGGTTAAGAATCTGCCTGACAATGCAGGGGACATGGGCTTGATCCCTGGTCCAGGAAGATCCCACATGCCGCGGAGCAACTAAGCCCGTGTGCCACAACTACTGAAGCCCCCACACCCTAGAGCCCACGTGCCGCACCTACTGAGCCCCCGTGCTGCAACTACTGAGCCTGCTGCTGCAACTACTGAAGCCCACATGCCTAGAGCCTGTGCTCCACAACAAGAGAAGCCACCAAAATGAGAAGCCCTCACACTGCAACGAAGAGTAGCCCCCGCTCGCTGCAACTGGAGAAAGTCCACGCGCCGCAACAAAAACCCAACACAGCCAAATAATTTTTTTTAATTAAAATTAAAAAAATAAAAAGTTTCAGAGGCAAAATCTTAGAAGAGAGAAAGAAATCAGAACGACTAAGGTCTTTCTATGTTCCAGTACTAGGCAGAGAGCTGGAAGAGGGAGAAAAATACAAGATATGAGAAAAAAATGACAGGGTCAAATTGTGGTCCTCTTGAGAATGGGTGGTATGCTCTACCCACAGGCTGTAGTAGGGTGAACGCCTGAAAGACTGAGATATACTACCATGTAGCAGCTGGGATCAAAGAGGATCTCAGTCTGTAGTCATTATATTACTTCTGAGTAACAACCTCAAAATGTGCACCCCATTCCTCTTTACATACATGTGGCAAACTGAAAAAGTGGCTCAGGAGCCTGAACAGGCAGAGAAGGCCTGACACAGCCCCAGAAGATTCATGGCACCCCAGATACAGTGGAAGACCAGCTATTTTGTCTATCCCCTGAGAAGTTCTCCCTAAACTATAAAATGTGGAGGAAACCAAATAGGTCCTGGGGTCAGAACTATAGGGGACTTAGCTCTGATATGTATTAACTGAAAACCAAGAGATGAAGGAGAAAGAGGGCTTTCCATCCCTCTCAAACCAAGACATCAAAATGGTAGGAGGGGCCATATAGTAGAGTGTTATAGGTCATGATAAAGCCTTTGCTTTGGCTTTGAATGAGCTGGAGTACCATAGCAGAGTGCGAGTTTAAACTTGTATATATTTGAGTAACACAGTGATAAGGATGCTTGTGCAGGGTTAAATTTCCTTTGAGAACTCATATGAAATGGACTTTTATTGTCCCATGGTTCTTTCCCATTTGAGGAGAACTTCTTAAAGAATATATAATGAAGAAGCTTGCTCTGTGCCCATCTGAGCTCTCATTTAAGTTCACATCTAAATATATTCTGACCAGGAATTCCCTGTCAGTCCAGTGGTTAGGACTCTGTGCTTTCACTGCCGAGGGCCTGGGTTCAACCCCTGGTCGGGGAACTAAGATCCCACAAGCAGCATGGTGAGGCCAAAAAAAATAACAACAGTTAATACATCCTGACCTCTCTATTTTTCCGTTATTTTCACTTCACTTCCCACAGATCAGGGCTCTTCCCCTTGTTCCATAGTGAAAATACTGTTCACCTCAAAAGAGATTTCAATTTATAAAAAAAAACCCAACATGATAATGCTATACTCAGTGCTTTGCTCAGCTAAGAAGAAAGGATATTATAGATTGATCTAGAAAAATGTTTCAAAAAGTACCAACTGACTGCCTCCTGAATGTTTAGAGATGATTTTAAATGGGTAGATATCTAGCACCCTTCCAAGAACTACTGAATCAGAAGCTCAAGAGTAAAACCACAGACTGAAATTTTTTTAAATTTGCCATAAGGCTTTCAGACTGCTAATATTGTACAAACCACCACTAATCAAGCATGTGGCAAACTTCTGAAGAAAGGGGAAGTTAGTCATAAGCCACTTTATGAAGCCTTTCATTCTGAATACAAACAGCTTCAATCACTCTCTTGAAGGGATTTGAAACTCTCGCAAGCATGCTAGGGGCTCCTAAAAGACTCCCAAGGGGAAATGCAAAGATATACAAAAGTAGTTACCGACTTTCAGAGGGAAATTATCCTCACCCAGGGAGACCAGGTTCCTGTAGGTCTCCACCATCACGTCCCTATACAAGGCCCTCTGAGCAGGGTCCAGGCATTCCCACTCCTCCTGAGAGAATTCTGTGGCCACATCCTTGAACATAAACAGTCCCTGAAAGGAAAGCACATTTCACCAAGTGGACAAGGAGAGATTTCTGAGTTTGACACAAACTTACAGAAACAGACGCGTAAGGATTGACTTGGCTGGAGTGAATGTTCTGACTGATCCATGTAAGATAATTTTGAGCAAGTTACGCTTCTCTTTATGTAACCGAGGTGAAATGCATACAACATAAAGTCAGCCATTTTTAAAGAAGCATTCAGTGGCATTTAGTACATTTATAATGTTGAACAAACATCACCTCTTTCTTGTTCAAAAATATTTCAATCATCCCCAAAGGAAATCCTTTACCCATTTCAGCAGTTGCTTCTTTCTTCCCCATTTGCCTCAGTCCCTGGACACCATTAATGCTTTGTCTCAATGGATGTACCTGTTTGGGATATTTCCATATAACTGGGATGGTATAAAATGTGACATTTTGTCTGGTTTCTTTCACTGTGAATAATTTTTTTGGCTCAGCCATGCTCAGTACAGTTATGTATCAGTACCACATTCCTTTTCATGGCCGAGTAATATTCCACTGCATGAGTAAACCACAGGTTATTCACTCATCCCTTGGTGGACATTTGGGTTATAATCACCTTTTGTCTATTACTAACACTGCTGCTGGAACTTTCTTTTTCTTTTTTTTGATTAATTTTTGGCTGCGTTGGGTCTTTGTTGCTGGGCGCGGGCTTTCTTTAGTTGTGGCAAGCAGGGGCTACTCTTCATTGCGGTGTGCAGGCTTCTCATTGGGGTCGTTTCTCTTTGTTGTGGAGCACAGGCCCTAGGCACACAGGCTTCAGTAGCTCAGGCTCGCAGGCTCTAGAGCGCAGGCTCAGTAGTTGTGGCGCACAGGCTTAGTTGCTCCGCGGCATGTGGGATCTTCCCAGACCAGGGCTTGAACCCGTGTCCCCTGCACTGGCAGGCGGATTCTCAACCACTGTGCCACCAGGGAAGTCCCATGCTGCTGGAACATTCATGCAGAAGTATATGTTTGAATTATCTGTTCTCAATTCTTTTTGGTATTTATCTAGCAGTGGAATCACTAGGTCACATGGTTTTGTTTTCCACGATGGCTACAACACTTTACCAGCAACTTACCAGGATTCTAACTTCTCTACATCTTTACCAAAACTTGTTATTCTGTTTTATTATAGTCATCGTATCAGGTGTGAAATTATATCTCATGGTAGTTTTGATTTTGCATTTTATTAATGACTAATTTCATTGAACATCTGTTTGCTTCTTGGTTACTTCTCTATCTTCTGTGAAGAAAGGTCTGTTAAAGTCCTTTGCTTATTTTATAATTAGGTTCTTTGTATTTTGGTTCTTGACATATAGGAGTTATTCATATATTCTAGATAATAGACACCAGATATGTGATTTGGAAATACTTCCTCCCACTTGGTAGATTATGTTTTCAGTTATGTGACAGTGTCCTTCAGTGTACAAATATTATTAATTTTGGTGAAGCTCAACTTATCTATTTTGTCTTTCTATCTTTTGCTTTCAGTGTCTTATCTAAAAAAAAATCCACTGTCAGTTCACATCATGAAGATTTATCCCTATGCTTTCACTTAAGGGTATTATAGTTTTACCTGTTATGCTTAGTCTTTGATTCATTTTGAATTGACTGATTTATATGGTGAGAGGCACAGGTCCAATTTCATTCTCTTTCACATGGATATCCAGTTGTCCCAGTACAACTGGAGAGACTACTTTTTAAGAGACAACTTTTTTTGCTTGAATGTTTCTGGCACCGTGTGAAAAAGGAATAGGCTATAGACATATGGGTTTATTTGTGGACTCTTAGTCTATCATTTTGATCTATATTATTCTTCTCAAGCTGGAACCACAGTTTTGTTTATCCATGGTTTGCAGTAAGGTTTGATGTTGGGAGTGTAAGTCCTCCAACTTTAATCTTTTTCACACTTATTTTGGGTATTTGGGGTCCATACTAATTCAAAATGAATTTAAGGGTCAGGTTCTCACTTGTACAGAAAAGGCTGCTGGGATTTTGACATGGATTGCTGTCAATCCTTATAACACTTTGGTGAGTACTGCCATCTTAACTACTCTAATTCTTACAATCAACAAAGGATATCTTGACATTTATTTAAATTTTCCTTCAATTCTTTAAGCAATACTTTTAGTTTTCATTGTACAGATCTTCCAGTTCCTTGGTTAAATTCTTATTCTTTTTGATGGTCTTGTAAATGGAATTGTTTCACTTACTTTCAATGTTTATTGCTAGTGTACAGAAATACTACTGAATATTGGGTATTGATACTGTATTCTGTAACCTCAGTGAATTTGTTTATTATCACTAATGGTCTTTTTAAGGATTGTTCAGATGTTTTTACATATAAGAGCATGTTTTCTGTGAATATAGTTTGACTTCTTTTTTAATTTTGACTTTTCTTTCTTTTTTTGGGTCTAATTTATCTGGCTAGATATTCAGTAAAATGTTGACATATAGTGCCAAAATACATCCCCACACTTGCTTCTTCCTGATTACATGGGAAAGCTTTCCATCTTTAACAATGAGTATGATGTTAACTGTGAGATTTTAATAGATATCCTTTTTAAGACCAAAGATAATCCCTTCTATTCCTAGTTTTGAGTACACTGTTTTTGTTATACGGAGTGTTCTGTATATTTCTCTTAGGTCTACAGTGTTTGCTTGGTTTACAGTTTTGCTCAGTCCTTTATTTCCTTATTGAGCTCCTGTCTGGTTATTAAAAGGAGAGTATTGAGGGAACTCCCTGGTGGTGCAGTGGTTAAGAATCCGCCTGCCAATGCAGGGGACACGGGTTCAATCCCTGGTTTGGGAAGATCCCACATGCCGTGGAGCAACTAAACCCATGCAAGCACAACTACTGAGCCTGCACTCTAGAGCCCGTTAGCCACAACTACTGAGCCTGTGCGCCACAACTACTGAGCCTGCACGCCACAACTACTGAAGCCCACCTGCCCTAGGGCCCAGGGCCCGTATGCTGCAGCTACTGAGCCTGCAGGCTGCAACTACTGAAGCCCATGTGCCTAGAGCCCATGCTTCGCAGCAAGTGAAGCCACCACAATGAGAAGCCTGTACGCCGCAATGAAGAGTAGCCCCCGCTCGCCAAAACTAGAGAAAGCCCGCGCGCAGCAACGAAGACCCAACACAGCCAAAAAAATAAGTTTAAAAGGAGAGTATTTTGAGGTCTCCAACTATTATAGTTGAACTATCTCTCCTCAAATTTTGCTTCAAAAAATGTGGGGATTTGTACCTATATATATATTGTTTACAGTTGTTTCATCTTCTTGATGAATTGACTCTTTTATGTATATAAATACATATACGTTACATGTACCTTATATATATGTATATACATATATAATTTTATATATATATACATATATATAATTTTATATATATATATGTACATCCTTGAACTTCTTTGGTAACAATTTTATGACTTATTTAATCTGACATTAGTGTAGCTAAGATTGGTAACTATTTCCACAATGTTTTTTCCTATCCTTTCACTTTCAACCTATTTGAGTATTTTAAAGCAAGCATTCTGTAGAAAGATACAGTAGAATCATGTTATAAAATTTCTTGCAATCATTGACTTTTAATGAAGAGTTTGATCTACTTATATTAAAAGTACCCAATAAACAAGGGAGGAATTACTTTTGCTATTTAGCTATTTGCTTTCTGTATGTCCAATATTTTCTTGGTCTTGTAATTCCTCTTGTTTCCTTCTTTGTGTATGTCTGTACATGCATAACATTTTGATTCCCTTCATATTCACATTTCTGTATGTTAAAATTATTTTCTTAGTGGTCAACCTGCAGATTATATATTTTATACATATATCCTGTCTCCCTTTATATTGTTATTGTCAAAAATTACTTCTTTATACATTTTGCATTCAGTAACAGATTTATAATGATTGTTTACATATTTGCCTTTTAATTCAGGTTAAAAAATGAGTTATAAACCAAAAAATACAGTAATACTGCCTTTTATATACACCTATGTAGTTATATTACCACTGTTCTTTATTTGTTCCTGTGCCTTTGAGGTACTGCTAGTAGCCCTTCATTTTGTCCTCAAGAATTCCATTTAGTGTTTCATGTAGTATAAGTCTGTCAGTGTGAACTTCCTCAGCTTTTGTTTATCTAGGAGTCTCTAAATTTCATTATCAATTTTAAAGCATAGTTTGCCTGATAATGAATTTTTTTTAATCTTTCGAAATTTAAATATATCATCAGATTCCTTCCTGGCCTCCACAGTTTCTGAGAAAGAGGCTGTTAATTTTATTAAGCATCTTTGTACATGAGAAGTCATTTCTGTCTTGCTACTCTCTACATTCTTTTTTTGTATTTTAACAATTGACTATGTATCTTGCCCAAGCTCTCTATGAATTTATCATACTTGGAGTTCGTTGACTTTCTTGGATTTGCAGGTTCACATTTTTAATAAATTTGTGAGGTTTTTCAGCTCTTATTTCTTCAGATATTATTTCTGCCCTTTCCTGTTTCTCCTTTCCTTCTAGGTCTCCTATTATGTGTATACTGGTATTCTTGGGAATGTCTCAAAAGTTTCTTAGTCTCTGTTCATGTTTCTTTTTACCACCGTTCTTCTATTCAGAGTGGATAATTCCAATTAACCTATGTTCAGGTTCACTGATTCTTTATTCTGATTGTCAATCTGCTGTTGAAATCCTTTAGTGAATTCTCAATTTCAGTTGTGGTACTTTTCAGCTCTAGAATTTCTAATTCTCTTTATTGATATTTTCTGTTTCTTGAAACAGTTTTCTCCTACTTTCTTTTAGTTCTCTGTCCATGGTTCCCCTTAAGTCTCTGAGTACGATTAAGACAGTTGATTTAAAATCCTGTTTAGTAACTGTAGTATCTGTGCTTCCTTATGAACACCATCATTAACCCAGTAATCATGCTCAAGTTTCCCACTCTGGAGAAATTCTTAGAAATCTGTAGTAAAGTCGGCATGCTCAGAAGCAGCCACTGTGGCTTTTTTTTTTTAATAATAATAAATTTATTTACTTATTTGGCTGCATCAGGTCTTAGTTGCGGCACACGGACAACTGTTGTGGCACGCAGCCTCTCTAGTTGTGGCGGATGGGCTCTAGAGTGCACAGGCTCAGTAGTTGTGGTGCAGGGTCTCCGTTGCTCCACGGCATATGGGATCTTAGTTCCTCAACCAGGGATCAAACCTGCGTCCCCTGCATTGGAAGGTGGATTCTTAACCACTGGACCACCAGGGAAGTCCTGGCCTTTTCTTATAACAGTAAAAACTGTAAAGGACCCATTTCTTCATTAAGAGAATGCTCCACTGAGGATACAAAAAAGAAAGTCATCTCTATGTCTGTTCATGAAAACAAGTCTAAGATACATGGTATGTAGATATTTAAATTTGAAGAATAAAATACCATAACAAAATATTTAGTAAAGAATATTTTCTAAAATCACATTTCCATATATAAATGTACTGCTGTAAGATCTGCACTGAGAATGAACAGTGGTTTCTGATGGAGACAGTAAGTGATGGTGTTAGGATGTGACAGGGAAGGGGATATTTTATTTCTTAGTCTCTAAACTGCATCGCTGTGTAAAGCTGAATTACAAAACTGTATCTATGAAGTGTTTAAAACAAAAAAATATAACACTGAACAACAAGCAGTAGAATCATAATTTGGCTCCAGTCTATCTGATGACAGAAATTTGCGCTCCTATGTCTTGGCTAAATTATAACCATCTTTATCTAAAACACATGCTGGGACTTCCCTGGTGGTTCAGTGGGTAGTAAGACTCCACGCTCCCAATGCAGGGGACCCAGGTTCAATCCCTGGTTGGGGAACTAGATCCCACATGCATGCCGCAACTAAAAAAGATCCCGCATGCTGCAACCAAAGATCCCGCATGCTGGAACAAAGATCCCACATGCTGCAACGAAGACCTGGCACAGCCTAAATAAATAAATAAATAAATCTTTTAAAATAAATAAATAAACAAATAAAACACATGCTGCATGAGAGTCCCTACATGAACAGGAGGGTCTCTGTAAGACGAACGTGCTGTGAATAATTTTTTAAACCCTTATTCTTAGATAACACCCTATTATTTATTTCTGTTTCTTAACTTCCCATTCTACTTTACAATACTGGTATTTTAGAGTGAAACACACTGACTCACTCCTTTTATTTCAAAGGCACTTATAAAATCTGACAAAGCAAGTTTCCCCACGTCAGTCTTCCTTCCCAGACCTCCTCAGGTATTCGTGCACAGCAGTACATCACTTATACACGTAGTCGCTTTCATCCTGGGTCACGTGGAGATGAAGGGGCACCCAGAAGGGTGCACTACACAATCCTCACGCCCTACCTCACTGACACCGCAGAGCCGACTCCCCATCTCCAATCCACGCCTGAGTATAAAACCTTTCACGGGGTGACCACCTGAAAGGGGGCTCTGCCCAAGTTCCCCGTCACTGGGTCACAGTGACATGGAATCTGCAGGGAGGTGACGGGAGACTGAGGGAAGGCCCTGTGTGTGAGTAAATCGGACATTTCAGAGACAGAGAAGATTAATGAGCCCAAACTGCGTCATTTTAGGAAGGAGAGAACAAATCAACAAAGAATATGACTTTTACCTGTGAAAGCTCCATTCCTTCTTCTTTCCTCCTCCTCTGAATTTCTTGTTAGATTCTTCAGGTAAGATGATTCTGTGGGAGCGAAATATGCTGTTTAATGCTTACAACCAACATACCCCCCTTCTGGCATCTGCCACAAAGCTACCAGAAGGAGAACCTTAACGTGGGGGAAAGACAGTCCTTTGCTGCCAGCTGTTAACACGAGGGATACAGGGACAATAAACTCCTACGCGAAGATCAATTAGTGAGCTTGTCACCCACTTCTTCAGGAAGCCCTCCCTGCTGCCAAAAGGCCCACTTGACTGCAACTGCTCCGTCCTTTGTCCATTTGGCACTAATCCAAAGGAAAGTGCCTCCTCCAGCTTCTGCTCTCTTCCGGAGGCAGCCAGCATCCAGTGACTGGTTGACACAGGATGTGGAAGCTTGCCCCTTTTGTTAAGTGGGAGCAACTCTGGAGGGGCCACCCCAGCTCCACAGCTCCCTGCTGGAGCGATATTGAACAATTTGTCCCGAGGGTGATGGGAAACCATAAAAGATTTAATGCCAAGAGATGATGCAATCAAACTTATGATTTACTCCTGCTACAGACAAGCTGAGAAAAAGGTATGCCTCCATCTCTGGGCCTATGCCCCTGGCCTCTTTTTTAAGCATTTTCCATAATTGCTGGAGGACTGGAATATGTTTAAAATTTCAATTATAACCAGGCAAACTGCTCTCCTCTATCTTCTCCATGTCACAGGTGGGTACACTGAGGCTCGGAGGGGGAGTAGTTTTACCAAGTTACCCTGAAGAAGTCTGAGTTGAATGAACAGAACTAGGTGGAAGTGGCAGCCTGGATAGGTTTAAATAGAAAAGGTTTGTCCTAATTCCAGATTACCTTTCATATTCCTGAGCAAGAGAAGCTTCTCTTTCATGGTTTAATCAAATTCAAACGTTTAATTCCTCTTTTCCAGAAAACGTTATAGTCAAAAATATGAAATTACAAATAGTTATTCCTCCAGAAAAACAAGAAAGAGGGTCACCCGTGGACATGAGCCCTAACAATCTTCATCATGCACACATGGGTTCTGTGGGAACAAAGTTTCACATCAATCTAGAAAAGGCTGGAACCTGGGGCCCCTGACTACAGTGCCTGCACCTGGACAGATGTGTCCTGAACACAGAATACAAAGAAGCCATAAGGCACTAAAAATAACTGCATACATGCACAGCTTGGGCAAACAGCTTATGAACAATAAGAAACAAAAAGGCCAAAACCCAACCGCCACTTCTGAAGTGCTGAGAGCAAAACCACCACCCCCCATCAGGGGGCGAGCAAGGGCACCTGTTTCTCGTTCTCGCTCACTTGTGCTGCAGCACGAGTCCCAGTAAAGCTTTGCCTGAATTCTTCGTCTGGCCTGTTATCAATTTCTACTGATTAGAGTCCAAGAACCCAGGTCAGTAACAAATCCAGCCCATCAGTTAACATCTGCACAGAAAGGACAAAGGGGACTTGGGGGGATAATCTACTTAGTTGGACACTTAAACTCAGAGCTCACTAATTGAGCAGATCACCTAAGGGAAGAAAGAAGCTACTGAGTACTAAACTAACTGGTTAAACTAGGTATTGAGTGTTAAAAGACGATCAACACCCTTACCGCATGCATAGTGAAGTTATTTAGCAGACATCAAAGAATAGTTCCAATACAGGATACAGTAGAAAGCGTATAAACCTCATAATCTGAACAATGAAATTTAGAGTGAAAATAATTTGGACATTTAAAACATACCCAATCGCTTCTGAGATTAAAGTTAAAACAAGTGTGAGGATATATCAAATCTTAAAAAGATTGACATGAGCCATAGTAAGGCAACAGTACAAAAGCACTGTGTGGTGGCACAAATACTTCGCCCCATTTCTTAGAAGGGAAGAGAATGACCCTGAACTGACTGACCTAAGAATCCACCCTCTGGAAGAACGGGGCTTGCAAATGGAGTTATCATCTGAAGCAATGATTAGAAAATGCAGACGCCTCAAACACCTGCTTTTGCAACCGTCATTCTCTTCTGCATAATTTAAACATGTCAAAAAATGTTAGATTAGCTTAGAGACACCACTTAGTATTTCACAACTTAATATTCCATATTTAATCAACTCAATACTCACCTGGGTTTGGGTTCCCGCTTTCTCCACCACCACGTGCTTTGTTTCCTGTATATGTCTCCCTGGGTCCTCTGTTTCTCTCCTCTCCTTTTGTGTCCATTTCTGTGTTTCCTCCTCTCTGTTCATACGCATCATTTTGTTTCCCTCCCTCTCTATTCTTCCTCTCACAGACTGTTAGGCCTCGCTCTGTTGAAATCTCTGTTGCAATCCCTGTCGTTCTTTCTCCCCAAACGTTCTGATGCCTCACTAACTGCATATACTTCTGCCTTTGTATTCCGTCTCTGCTCTCCCTGGAGGGAGGTCAAGGGCGATCCACCTCCTGAGTGAGGACTTAACAAAACGGAATGGGGCGGGGGGGGCGGTGGGAGAAGGAGGGGAGGCGGGAGTCATACAAAGGTTTGAGAAAGGGAGTCAGACTAGGAAAACGTCGCTGCAGGAGGTCAGTGTCTCTACGGACCGAAGGCAAAAAGTTGGGGCCGGTACCTGCGTCAGAACGATTTTAACCGGAACCGGACCCAGACTCCCAGGGCCGAACCGAGTCTTCTGGCGACGCCGCGACAGGCGAAAGGGGCGGACTCAGAGCGAGAGAGACGACCGCCTTCAGGGGTTTTAATTTGCTGGGACACCCTCGAAACCCAGGTATGGAGAAGCGGGGCTTGGAGATCGCATAGCGCACTTACGAACCAAAGAACCGACTCACTCACCCGCCGGCGCCAGTCTGACCGCAGGATCCGCTTCCGCGTCCCTAGGTAATTGCGCGTGCGCATGCGCACCACCGGGCCAGGGGGCGGAGCCGCCTAGGGGCGCATCTCGGACGCTCCGGAGGGTGGAGGCCTTGTCTCTGGTGGAGCCGCCCTGCGGACGCCGGGTCTAGCCCTCGGACCCGCTCCTAGGAGATTCTGGTCTGTTCCTCTTCTCTCCTGAGAGGCTCTGCTTCTCTACTTCGGATCCTTTGAACGTGTCTGGTGCCCTCTGGACCCAGGTTAGATGCAGAGCAGTTACAACTTATTTCAATTAAGCGACAGCCTGAGTTTTAGAGTAGGTGATGGAAACTGGAGTGTGACAGGAAATGCAAAATTGTGCCTGTGCGGAATGTGCAATTTTATACTTACTTCCCTTCAGAGCATAACTTTTTCTTGTGTTCCCCATTCACTTGGAGGCATCAAATATCAGAATTTCCCTGTGGCCTGGTGGTTAGGATTCTGGACTTTCACTGCCCGGCGGGTTTCAGTCTCTGGTCGGGGAACTGAGATCCCGCAAGCCAGGCAGCACGGAAAAAAAAATCAGAGGAAAATTTTCAACCCCAAATGTGTCATTGTATGAGGGACTCCTTTGGAGACTGTGAGCAAGGAGTTGGCTGCACTCAGGTGCTTAAGAATCAAGCCTTATTAAATAATTCAACCATATTTTAATTATTTTTTACTCTTTGACCTTTGTCTGACTATAGGATGTGACAAATAAAACCATTTCTTGTCATTCTGATAGGAATTTCCATTTCCCGAATACTAGCATCTCCACTGTAGGTTTTGCTACTTATTAACTTTTGTTACGCACTTTGGCATATTTCTGAATTTTTAACTTCATTGATCTACCAGTCATGAATAAACAGGTCTACGGATAGCCACTCTTTTTTGCTTCTCTTTTGTGGCTATTCTTACTTGTTCTTTATTCTGTAAGATTTTCTCGATAACATTGCTAGCTTCAGAACTGAGTGTCTATATCGGGAACAGGTTAAGTTTATAAATTAGCTTAAGGAGAATTGCCCTTGTTATAATACTGAATTTTTTACCCAGGAATGTGATGTGATTTTCCATTTGTTTATATCCGCTTTCATATATTTCAGGAATGTTTTATAGTTTCTTCACATAGGTTTAAAAAGTTTGTTAGATTTACTCCCAATTAGTTTATTTCATTTCTGGTTACGCTTTTCTAATTAAAGTTTCTTGCACTATAACTTGTAAAATGATTCTTTTTTGCACCTATGAAAGCTACTGTTTTTGTATATTTATATGATCTTCCTGACTTATCTTTTGTAGGTTTTCTATCAATTCCTTTGTGTTTCCAGATGTATGATTGCATGATCTGCAAACATAGTTTTATATTTTTCTTTCCCATTCTCATGCCATTTTAAATCGCCCTGGCTAAACCTCCAACACATGAGAAATGAATTGAACAGGTGATCATATGCTTTTTTTAGTGTGGTTTTCTAACCTTAGTGGAATAACTCTAGTGCTTCCCAAAGAGCAAGATAATCACTTCATTTTGACATGTTAGAAAAAATGCATCAATTCCCACTGTTGAGTTTAAGTTAACGTAAGTACAAGTTCAATTCTTCCAAATAGATGTTTTTGTAACTATGAGTAAGATCCCCTGATTTCTCTTTATACCCACTACTACGATGTACTATATTAATGGATTTCCTAACACTGAATCATGCTTGAATTCCAGACATAAAATTCAGTCATCTATTATTTTGCTATATTTTATTTTAAATATTGCCATCTGTACACAGGTGTGAGATCTTTCCATAGTATTCTTTTTGGTACAAACTTTAGGACATTTGAGTATCAGCATTTTATTTGATTTATGTAAACTATTTGGAAATTGTACTTCCTCTTTAAGGCTTGAATTGAGTACATAGCATTGGCTTATCTGTTCTCTAAAAGAATGGAAGAATCTACCTGCTAATCTGACCCTGGTGCTTTTATTTGTATAGGACTCATAAAACTCTCCCTTACCTCTATGGATATTCATTTGTTTAGACTCCTATTTCTACTGGAGTCAATACCGGTAGAATATATTTTCGTAGAAAATGTCCATTTCATCTAGGCTTCACAGTTGATTTGTATTGATTTGGAGAAATGGGGCAAATATTGTCTAATCTCAATTATTGACTCACTATCTTTCTTTTGTGCTAATTAAAAATTCACTGAACTTACTGAAAAATTTAAAAATTGAAAGTCCTTGATTGTGTGATTCCATTTCTTTGCCCATAAATGGTGGTATTTCAGGGGTCCTCAGAGATTTCAGACAGCGTTAGATTTGGGGTAAAGGAAATTCTCAGGGAGGCAGGGAATCCACTGAGACACATGTGCTTCTCTGTGGGTCTTCCATGGCTCAGACCTCAGTACCTCCTCTGTCCACATGATACCCTGTCTGCCACCAGGAATAATGGAAAAGGAAGAATTTCTCCCCTTTTGGATATGCTCACTAGAAATTCCTAATAGATTCAAGAAATTTAAGTTTTTCAAAACTATTCCCAGCTCCTATGCTCAAGTGTGAACCGCCATTGCCACGCAAGTTGAAAAGACGATTGGGACTTCCCTGGTGATCCAGTGGTTAAGACTCCGCACTCCCAATGCAGGGGACCTGGGTTCAATTCCTGGTCAGGGAACTAGATCCCACATGCCACAAGAAAAAGATCCTGCAGGCCGCAACTAAGACGTGGTACAGCCAAATAAATATTTTTTTAAAAAAGGTGAAAAGATGATTGAAATTCTTTGAGGAGATGAGGTCATAGGAACACTACCCCATATCTCAGGCTCTGGCATCCTCCCTCACACACATGCTTCGGCTGTTTTGATCATTATATTGAGCTCAGTTTGGGCAGCAGGAAGCAGTTTGTAAGTGTTTTCTATTTCAGACTGAGAGACAGATTCTGTATAGTTAGATGTATCAGGAATCTGGGTAGGTGGGCATGTCTGGAGCAGCAGTCCAAGGACAATACCATACATGAAGGAGGAATAATTCTTCAGGCACAGTTTGAGTGTGTGGAAAAGACTAGCGGTCTGAGACCCTAACCGACCCATGACTGCTGCTAAAGCAACTGAATAAAATCCTCATTGAAGGGGGTCTTGGAGATTGAATAACTAAAATCAGAAATGAAAGAGGGGACTGATTACAACTGATTCTACAGAAATAAAAAGAACTAGAAGAGAATACTACAAAGAGTTATAGGCCAAAATGTTGAATAACCTAGAAGAAATGCATAAATTCCTAGAAATACACAACCTACCAAGACTGAGTCATGAAAATCACTAATCAAAAATAAAGGGAACCCAGAGAGTTCCACTGCAGAGTTCTGCCAAATATTTTAAAACAAGACAAATCTTCCTCAAACCCTACCAAAAAAATTGAATAGGAGGGAACACTTCCAAACTCAATCTACAGTGCCAGAATTACTTTAATACCAAAGCGAGACAAAGACACTACAAGAAAACCAGAGTACAATATCTCTAATGAATACTTATACCAAAATTATCAATAAAGCAATATTAAACCTAATTTGACAGCACATTAAAAGGATTATTCAACATGACCAAGGAGGACATATTCTTCGCATGCAAGGATGGTTCAACATATGGAAATATTTCATTATAATTATATCAAAAGAATGAAAGGAAAAGAATACATGGTCATCTCAATTGATGCAGAAAAGCATTAGACTAGTTAAAAGCCTTTATGATAAAAACAATCATAAACTAAAAACAGAAAAAAAAAATCTAGTTCAGAACAAAAAAGAACATATATAAAAAGCCTGAAACTGACATCACACTCGGTGAAAGCCTGAAAACTTTTCCTCTAAGATCAGGAACAAAACAAGACACCTGCTCTCATTATTTCTATAAAACACATAATAGGGGACTTCCCTGGTGGTGAAGTGGTTAAGAATCTGCCTACCAATGCAGGGGATACGGGTTCGAGCCCTGGTCTCGAAGATCCCACATGCCACGGAGCACTAAACTAAGCCAGTACACCACAACTACTGAGCCTGCACTCTAGAGCACGCGTGCCACAACTACTGAAGCCCGCGCACCTAGAACCCATGCTCCGCAACAAGAGAAGCCACTACAATGAGAAGCCCGCGCACTGCAATGAAGAGTAGCCCCCGCTCGCCGCAACTAGAGAAAGCCGGCACGCAGCAAAACCCAGCTCAACCAAAAAAATAAATAAAAAGAACACACAACAGGAAGTTCCAGCAAGACAAACAGGCAAGAAAATAAATAAAAGGTAATTAGGAAATTGGGTAATTAGGAAAAGAAGCAGAAATGTCTCTGCTTAGAGCCAGCATAATCTAATAGTAGAAAATCCATTAGATTCCGCAAAAAACACCCTGATATAACAAACGAATGAATTCAGAAAAATTTCAAGGTATAAAATCCGCATGCAGGGGCTTCCCTGGTTGCGCAGTGGTTGAGAGTCCGCCTGCCGATGCAGGGGACGCGGATTCGTGGCCCGGTCCGGGAAGATCCCACATGCCACGGAGCGGCTGGGCCCGTGAGCCATGGCCGCTGAGCCTGCGCGTCCGGAGCCTGTGCTCTGCAACGGGAGAGGCCACAACAGTGAGAGGCCCCCGCGTACCGCAAAAAAAAAAAAAAAAAAAAAAAAAAAAAAAAAAAAAAAAAAAAAATAAAAACCCCCAAAAAAAAAAAAAAAAAAAAAAAAAAAAAAAAAAACGCATGCAAAATCAATTGTTTTTCTCTATTAATGATAAGCAATCAGAAAGGAAATTGAGAAAACAATTCCATTTATAATAGCAAAAAGAATAAAATACATAAGCATACCCTTAGCCAAAGGGGAAGATTTGCATACTGTAAACTAAAAACATTGCTGAAAAATATTAGAAAAGACGAAAATAAATGCATAGATATCCCAAATTCATGCACTGAAAGAAAATATTGTTAAGATGACGATAGTACCCAAAGCAATCAACAGATCCAAAGCAATACCCAGCAAAATCCCAACAGCGTTTTTGAAGAAATAAATAAACATGGATTCACATGGAATGTCAACAGACCACGAATAGCAAAAACAAGCTTGAAAAGAACAAAGTTGGAGGTCTCACACTTCCTTATTTCAAAACTTATTCCAAACCTAAATTAATCAAAACAATGTGGAACTTGCATAAGACAGCCAGCCAGCCAGTGCAATAGAATAAAAATGTTGGAAGTAAACTCTTCCATATATGGTCAAATGATGTTCCACAAGAGTGTCAAGGTCACTCAATAGGGGAAGGGTAGTCTACTGAAAAAAATGTATTGAGAAAACTGGATATCCACATACAAAAGAATGTAATTGGACCATTATGCGACACACACCCTAATCAAAAACTAACTCAAAATGGATCAAAAATCTAAACATAAGACTTAAAAAAGTATATAACTCCTAGAAGAAAACATAGGGGAAGACCTTCATCACATTGGATTCAGCAATAATTGAACAGATATGACCACAAAAGCAAAGGTAGGGTAGCAAAGTAAAAACAGAGAAAATTGGACTACATCAAAATTACAAACTATTGTGCATTAAAGCACGCTCATAGTAAAAAGACAATCTATGGAATGGGAGAAATTATTTGCAAATCATATATCTGTTATACCAGGGGGCTCTTGGCTCAAGTTTCTGCTAATGACATTGCTTCTGTTACTGGTACTCTTGATAACCGGCTGTGTGTTTTACAAGGTCACTGTCAACTGTCTCTCTCGCTGTGCCTCTCGTACACCTGCTAGAATAATGACTTTTAAGCAAGGTTCAGATGCTACTCCTGTGGGCCCCAAAGCTTTTCTAGCTCTAGAAGCGAGAGTTTCACTCCTCTAAGTAAGGAGACTACAACACCCAGTCTCAGCAAGAAGCAACTACAGAAGAATGACCTTCAGCCCTGTACCGCTCAAAAATGAGTGAAATTTCTCAAGGGGGAATTTTGTAGGCAAAAGGGTAGAGGGTCCCTGGAGAAAGAGAATCAGACATAGTTTCCTTGACAGAAGAGAAGCCATTTTAAGCCTAAGCCATTCTGTGATCTACACCTGGCCACAATTCTTGCCCTTACAAAAGAATAGGCCTCAGTAGTTACTGATTTTAAGGGAACAATAGAATGTAGAATAAACAGCTATTGCCAGGCCAGGGAAATAACTTAACCACATCAGAGACAAAAAATCAGTTGTAAAGACTCCCAGTCCTGTTTTGAAGGTAAAGATTAACCTGAAGCATATTCTTGAGCTGTTTTGCAGGATCCAAACCTCCTCAAGCACTCAACCACCAGACTAACTGGAACATAAAGAATGATAATGCTAACCTTTGCTAACCCTACTGACTTCAGTCAGCTAGACCCAAACTCTGTCAAGCTTTGCCCCAATTCTATGCTGAATTCTCCTCTGCTCAAGCCCCATGATTAATTTGCATATATCCACCGAGCCCCTTCATGAATATGCATGCACCCTTAACTTAAAATTTCCCTAATTTTGCTGTTCCAGGAAATACTGCTTTGGGAAAGATCCTAGGTGTTCTCCTTACATGGGGTAAGTAATACATCCTTCCTTCTCCTAGACTTTGACTTTGTTGTGTCTTTTGGCTCAAGAGCCATCAAGAGGCAAATCCAGTTTTCAGGTAAAATGCAGGCCTCAAATATACCTGAAACAAACTGAAAAGAATTTCTAATTTTTTTTTTAATCTAAAGAATTTGGTCTCAAAGTTAAAACAATTTTGGGAATATAGCCTATTTAGAAAAGAATGACATGAGTCGATTGTAGGAAGCCACCACAGCTTTTTTCAGAAGTTAACAATTATTTATAAAAAGTTGAAATTGAATGTACTAAGATCTATCCCAAACTACAAAAAGGATTAAGTGTAAAGAAACGAGGAAGAAAAAAGTAAAAGCATTAGAAAAAACACTTTTAATCTTCCTTTAAAAGGGCACCATGCAATACAAAGTCAGTCATTTCTAATCCCACTTCTCTCCCCCATCCTCTACCCTATGTCAGGAAAAGGGAAGCGGGGTGACCCACAACTGATAAGTCACTGCCCCCTGTCTGAACAGGGATTGCAAAAAGAAGCTATCTTCTGATACAAATAACTACAAAATGTACAAGCTTTGTAGACACTTTGCAATCCTCATCCTCCATCTGTATAGTTTAAACAAATTTTAAATGTATTCAATTCTAAAGCCACAAATCGTACATCACAACTTAATCATCCATGTCCAAACAACCCACCATCCACCTGGACCCAGTTTCCCCTCTACCTGCACTATACTAGGTGCTCCCATTTCATTCCCTTTTGTCTAGCTCCCTATTTTCTCTTTGTCCCCCTCTACTGCCTTTTCTCCCCTCCTATTTCTTCC